GCTTGCGCCGCCGCCGCCGCATCCTGCCGGCAAGATGTCGGGCAGCGATGCTGCCGTCGCGGCGGCCTTCCAGCACAATGGCCCGAAGCTTCACGCCTAGAGCCGCAGCAGATCGCCCGCAGGGCAGTTCGCGACGGAAACTCGATCGTCTGCCCGCGGAGAGGGCGAGGAAGGCTCAGGGGCAGGCGGGAATGCGTCGACCCCCAATCGCCCATGGATCGCCGATAGGGGCCCGACAGTGCACCCCGCCCAGGAGTGTGCGGTTTCGGTATCGAGGGCCTACCGCCGATCTATAAGCGATGTCCCGGTCTTGTTTCCACCCCCCTCATGGGCGGGGGGAGGGGGAGGGGGGAGAAGGTGGAGGAGCAGGAGGGGTGGAGAAGGTGGAGGGAGGCGGCAGGTCGGGCGATTGGGCGGGCGGGCGGGCCCCAGCCGGCGGGTCGGCTGGTCGGGCCAGACTCATCCAACTGATCATCATATCTTGAGGGCTAAAACGCGATGACCATGGCCATGACCAGGATGTCACGGGATCTTGTCGACACCGATCTTGGTCATGATCCATGCCGGCCGTCGCCGGTTCGCGAGGAGGATCCACGAATCGACGAGGACCCGAATGGACGATGACCAGGATCGGTACCGGCGCTCTGGCGCTCGGTCCTGGTCGTGGCCGTTGTCTTTTTCCCCTCCAGTGCTCCCCTGCCTCGTCTTCCCCCTGGCCATTCTCATCGAAATTCAGAATCCTTGGAATCCTTTACTCGCCAGTGCTTTCCTTCCTCGTCTTCCCCTTCCTCGTCTTCCCCCTCGCCTTCCTCCTGGTCTGCAGGTGCTTTCGCGCCCAGCGCACCCCCGGCAGTGCCGCCCCTGGCGGACTCGAGGGCATCCGAGCTCCGAGTCCCTCGTGCCCTCCCGCCTCTCCCTCGACGTGCGGAGACTTGGATTACATCGGGCCTGCCCCTCTACAGGCGGTATATTGAAGAAATAGTTAAAAATAGTGTGGGGACGATTTTTTTGAAAACCATTGTTGTGTTTTTTTGGGGGTACTTTTGGGATACTTTTCATCTTTCGCCCAAAATCCCCCTGTAGGGGGACCAGCCCGACTTGAGATTTGCATCGCTCGACCACGTCGCCTCCAGCCTCGTGCCTCCGCTGCCCGAGGCTGCGCCCCGCGCACCTCGGGCGTGTGGCCGTTCGGTCTCGGCCGCTCGGCCGGAGCCGCCGGCCGCGGACGCCCCCTGGCCCGGCCGAGCCCTATTTGGGGTGGAGCGCGATCGCGGGGGATCGCGCCCCTGCTCGCTCCTCGTCCGCCCACCCCTGCCCTCCGCCCTGCTGGCTCCTCGTTCCGTGCTCCTCGCCCATTCCTCCCCCCTCCCGTCTTCTCCCTCCTCTTCCCTCGCCCCCTCCTCTTCCGCTCTCCCTCCTGCCACCTCTTTCCTCGCTCCACCTTCCTCGCTCTTCTTTGTTCTGAGGCTCTCGTGGTGGGAGTACCAGGCGCTCATGCTTTGCCTCGCGGGCACCATGTGCCTTGGCCTGGTGGCCATCGAGCTGACCATGCGGCGCTTCCAGGCCAGGTGCGGGGCACGGGGATGATGATGATGCTGATGCTGCTGATGCTGCTGATGATGATGACGATGATGATGAGGATGATGAGGATGATGATGATGAAGATGATGATGGTGATGATGGTGATTCTGATGATGCTGACGCTGCTGATGATGATGATTATGCTGATGGTGATGATGATGATGACGATGATGATGATGATGATGATGATGATGATGATGATGATGATGATGATGATGATGATGATGATGATGATGATGATTAGGATACTGATGATGATGCTGATGATGATGCTGATGCTAATGATGATGATGATGATGCTGATTCTGCTGCTGCTGCTGATGATGATGACGACAAATATGCTGGTCGTGATGATGATTTTGGTGGTGGTGGTGGTGGTGGCGTGAGGGTGGTGATTGTGATTGTGTCGATAATGAGGATAATGATGATCAAGGTGATTCTGACTATGAGTAGGGTGATGGTGATGGTGATGGTTAGGGGGGTGATGCTGATGACGATGCTGCTGCTGATGATGATTCCAGTGATGATGTGATGGTGGTGATGAAAATGATGATGGTGGTAATGCTGCAGCTGGTGTTGGGTGTGATGGTGATGGTGACGATGACAATGACGACGATGATAGTGATGATGCTGCTGTTGTTGATGATGCTGTTCCTGATGCTGCTGCTGATGATGATCATGATTATGATTATGGTGGTGGTCGCGGTGGTGATGGTGGTGGTGGTGATTTTGATGCTGCTGTTCTTGATGCCGCTGCTTCTGCTGCTGCTGCTGCTGATGATGATGATGCTGATGATGCTGATGCTGACGCTGCTGGTCATGATGACGACGATGATGATGCTGGTGGCGATGATGGCGACGACGATGGGGATTAGCTGCTGCTACTGCTGCTGGTGATGCTGAGGCTGATGTTTCAGTGAGTTCGGCCACGACGATGTCGATGCCACGTTCATCCGTGGGAGAGCGTGCATGCCGCGCTCTCCCAGCGCACTCGTCCCTTCCCTGGGCTGCCTCGGCGCGCCGCGCAACTCGGGGTCGTCGGAAGGTTCAGCACCCGTCCGACTTATGGCTTGCCAGTTCCCGCGCCAGGCACGAGGCTTCGGCACAGCGTGCGGCCTCAGTGGCAGCACCCGCACCCAGCCCAGGCACCCGTGGTCCTGGGTCCACGCAGTCTCTCGCCCGATGGGGGTCCTGGAGGGGACACCGCTCCAGCACGCTGGGCCACGTGGCAGGGCAGGCTCGGAGCTCCGACTCCATGGGCTTCCGCCGCGCGGGAGCCCCGAGGTCTCGACGCCCTCCCTGGTGCCCGCCTTCCGTCCCGAGCCGTTTCCTGACGGTCGGTCCCAGGGCCAGGTGGGGGCGCCCAGAAGCCAAGCACTTTTTGGTCTGCGGGTCGACAGCGGGCCTCTTCCGGTTAATTGGGGAGACAGGGCGCGGGCGGGCGGGGCCTCAGGCGGCCGGAGGGCGCGGGGTGCAGGCGGTGCCGAAGAGCTTGCACAGGAAAAGGTACGCCTTGGACAGGAGCCAGAGGCGAAGTCCCGGAGGGAGAGCGAAGTGGCAGAAGCCAAGCACAGGAAACATTTGTTTGCGCCGCAGCGCAGCAGAGTCGGTCCGCGCGCGCGCTCGGCAGGCCCGGGCGACGGCGTTGCTAATTTGGCCCAGGCGCGACGGGAACAGGAGAGAGGCGGCCGTGAGAGAGGGAGGGCAGAGCAGGGGAGCGCGCTCACGCGGGGGGGACCGCCGCAGGGCGCCCAAGGCGGCCGATGAAGAGGATGATGATGATGATGCTGATGCTGATGCTGATGAGGATGAGGATGATGATGATGATGCTGATGCTGATGCGGATGCGGATGCTGATGCTGATGCTGATGCTGATGCTGATGCTGATGCTGATGAGGATGAGGATGAGGATGATGAGGATGATGAGGATGATGATAATGATGATGATGATAATGAGGATGATGAGGATGATGATAATGATGATGATCATGATGATGATGATGATGATGATGATGATGATGATGATGATGATGATGATGATGAGGATGAGGATGAGGATGAGGATGAGGATGAGGATGAGGATGCTGCTGATGATGATGATAATGAGGATGTTGATTAGGGTGATGATGATGATTCTGATGATGATGATGATGATGATGATGGTGGTGGTGGTGGTGGTGATGATGATGATGAGGATGATGATGAGGATGATGATGATGATGATGATGATGATGATGATGGTGGTGGTGGTGGTGGTGGTGATGATGATGATGATGAGGAGGAGGAGGAGGAGGGGAAACACTTGGCGCCGCGATTTTTGCGTGGGACCCTCTCTGCGGACGCCTCGCCAGGCCTGTGCGCGGGCCCCTGGTCGGGCGTGCGAGGAGCGCCCTCGCGAGAGAGAGAGAGAGAGAGAGAGAGGGATGCGCTCCGCGCGGGGCATCCGCGCTCGCGTGGGTACGGGTGTGTTTCCCGGCCGCGATGCGTCGGGGAGGCCATGCCAGGGTCCGTTTCGAGCTGGTCGATCCGATCCGATGTCGGTTCTGGCTGGATCGATCCAGTTCGACTCCGACGTTCTGGCGATCCGATGCGGGCCGATGCTCGCAGGGCGCGGGTGTGCATTCTGGCGCAGACAGTCCGATTCGACTTCGGCTGTGTGCCGATGCGTCCCGAGGCGGTGCACGTTCCGACTCGATCCGACTTCCTGGTTCGATGTTGCCAGGTCTGGGTGAGGATGCCTGGGGTCTGCCGCCGCGGGGGGAGGAAGCCTCGGGGAGGCCTCCTCACGAAGCGGGCATTCTCTTCCCGCGGTCTTGAGCTTCAAGCGCGATTCAGGCAGCGCCTGCGAAAGATGCGCGACTGGCTTGAAACGCAGCCTTTCACTGAACACACCTCGATCGCCTCGCCGACTGCTCTCGTCCTGGCCCAGCTTTCTCGCCGTGGCGACCACGAACCTGCGACGGCTTCGAGTGCCCTGCGCGCTTTTTGAGCCACCTACCTGCGTCGCAGTCGTGATGCGGTTTGCTCTCGAGCGTCCGTCGCGGCACTAAGTTTCGCATTCTTCTGCCCGCGCGCCCTGCCCGAGGCAAGGCCCACCAGGAGCAGTACAGTGTAATGCGTTGTCTCGCCCACGCGCCAACGGGCGTGTGGCTTCTTGACTTGACTTGCCCAGTCCGAAGACGAGGAATAAGCGACTGCACGAACACATTCTTTCGGAGGTCCTCCCCGATGTCTTGGGTCGGCGCCGGAGCCCCCTCGACCTGGCGCTCCGAGCGCGCCCAGTGCCGGTGCCAGAGGCCCCGCCGGAGGGCCCGCGCGGCTCCGGGAGATCCGCTCGGACCTCCGCAAGTTTACAGTCGGGGCGCTGAAGAAGGAACTCTTCTCGTTGGGGAGTGGCTCCGTGTTCCTTAATTGTTTCACAGTTTACGCCACGTTGTCCTTAGGTTTTCGATGGGGAATCGAAGTTTCACTTATGGAAAAAAGGGGCCTCGTTCCTTATTTTGGGTTCCTTAGGTCAAGGCCCCGACTGTACGCCTGTGCAGCCTCTCGTTCCTCTACCGGTGGTGGTGGCACGTGCTCGGTGCCGCCGTGCGCTTGCCCCTCCGCGGAAGTGCAGGGGCCCCGATGGGCCTCTGTCCGGGGGCCCCGGTGTCTCGAGCCAGCGCGGGAGGGAGGGAGGGAGGGAGAGGGAGAGGTAAGGGGGTGCAGGATGGAGGAGGGAGTGATGGAGCGAGGGGGGGGGAATGAGGAAGGAAGATGAATCGAGAGATATAACGAGGGATGGAACGAGGGGTGCGAAGGAGTAGGGCAAGCCTTCTGGCGGGAGCGCCATGAGCCGTCTCGCTCGCAGCTGGCACGAGGGTTCAGCGTACCCTGATGTTCTTCGCAGCTGGGCTCTCCACCTCGAAACGCCCTTCGTCTACAGGCTTCTCCAGGGGCCGTGGTTCCTTGGCCAGGGGGCTCGTGCTGCTGAGGTGCGCCATCTTGCCTTCTGTGCCCCATTAGGGCCTGCAGTGTCCCTCGGTCAGCTGCGCCGAGGCGCTGGCCGCTCCCGCGCGCCTGCTCTGCTCGCCTTTGCTGCTGCTTCTCTTCCCTCCCCTCTCCCGCTCTCTTCCCCTTTTCCTCAGCCACGGGGCGACTTCTCTGCGCTGGTAGAAAAGAAGTGTCCCATCGGCTGCTTTCGACCGCGGCGTTGATCCGCGCCGCTGCGACCAAGCAAGTGCTCGACACACGTCCGTGTGGCCGTGGTGCGCGCCTGGGATCGCCAATCAGAGGTTGGCCTGAACGCCGCTCTAGGTTTTCTCTCGTCTCCTCCTCCGCCTCTCCCTTTACTCTTTCTCCCTCTCCTCTCACTGGCCCCATCACCGCCCGTGTCCCGAGTCCGGGGGCTCATGGACGGTTTGGCTGCCGTCATTGCTGAGGTTCTTCGCTGATATCGTGTGGCCATGCTCCGACTGTATCACCTCATGAGTTTGCCTGTCGCGGGTTTGAATGTTGGGTTGCATCCCGTTTGCCTGACGGCTCCTCGAACCCTTGCGCAAGAGTGTCCCGTCGCCGGAGTGGCCTTGGGTGCGGACCCACAGAGGGTCCCCCCAGCAGCGGCTATGCGCGCATGGATCTTGCCGATAGTTTCACTCGCAGGTGCGGGCGGCAGGGTGGGGGGGCCGAGCGGTCTTCCGCCGTCCCCCCGGGTGTGTGGCTGAAGATCCGCCCACTCCGGCCGCCTGAGGCCCCGCCTGCCTGTGCCCTGTCTCCCTAATTAAAGCTGTGCGTAGCCCGCCTAGCTTTTAGCGGAAGAGGTTCGCTCTCGCCCGGCCGACCACAAAGTGTGTGGCTGAAGATGGACCCTGCGGCCCGCGATCCACGCCGCGGCGCGCTCCGCGGCCCACCCCGCGACGCCAGCCCCCTCGTCCGCAAGTTGGGGGGCGCACAGTACTGCTTCTGCCCCTGGCCCCTCCCTCTCGCTTCTCCTCCTCGCCCGCTCCTCCCCTTCGTCGACGTCGTCCTGCTGGAGGGGGGGAAGCGGCCCCCTCCGACTTGCGGCACGGCGCCGCGGGGTGGCGAGCGGCGCAGGTCCTGTCGCTGCTCTTCCCCGGCATGTTCTCCATTCGGGAGAGGCCACCGCACCCGGGGGAGGATCGTGACGAGGATCGGGCGTTGCGCAGCTGGGGGGCGAACGAAAATGGTGTGGTGGAGGAGGGTGCTCCTGTCGTGCACCCCAGGGGCACTACAGGGGCTCTCTGGGGCCCAGAAGGTGTGCGGAAGGTACACGTTTCTTCGTCCCCCCTGTACATGAACGACCTATGACTGTAGAACTGCCCTGACTATTCTCCAAATAGGCTTGTCCTACTGGAGTCCTAGCTCAAACCCTTCTAATTGGTCCTTTTGCCGCCCCCTAATTCCTATGCCCCCCCTACTTCTTATGGTTATGCCTATGCCTAATTATGCCTATGCCTTCCCCGTACTCCTATGCCTACGCCTATGCCTACGCCTATGCCTACGCCTATACCTATGCCTGCTTGCTTGCTTGCTTGCTTGCTTACGCGCTTGCACGCTTGCTTGCTTGCTTGCTTGCGCGCCTGCTTGCACGCTTGCTTGCTTTCCGAGTTGCGGATTCCAAGCATGCTTGATTATCCTCTGATTCCTTGATTTGAGTCGTCTAATCTATTTAGAGTCAACGCTGGCTGATATGCATGCTGAATTGTTCCATGTTAGAATTCTTGTGTACTGGGATATAACAACAAGTATCGCCTGCCCGTTGATCAACGCCAGAGAGGAGGAGCAGGAGGTCAACCGCCAGAAGATGTCCACTTCCACCGCCTCGCAATCGTGCCCCTGGGATCTGGACGGCCTCCTGTGGAGCGGGGGTGCGGTGGGGAAACATCTATATATGCGCCGTTCCCCAGGGATGCGTGGCATCACCGAGCGCGTTCCACTATTCGCAAAGTGCCTACTGGCAAACGTCCGAAAGACATCAGGTGGCCTCGTTGTAATGGATCGTAGATCCACCGCGCAGGATCCGGGCCATTTGCGAGTAGTTATTTCGCGAGTCGTGGAGCGCGCTGGTCTAGGGCAGGACTCCAGCAGCTGTGGATGTGGATGTTTCTTGGTCGGACCCGTCTGAGGGTCCCAGGTGCCCCAGCGCTGGCTCTAGCGGCCAGGTTCGAGGTTCTGGGCTCGGGAAGTTTTTGCCCTGTTCGGCCTCGGGGGGCCTGTCCTGGTGACTGGGAAGAAAACGGATCCGGGGTGAAAAACTGCAGCAGATGGACTTTTGGAGGGATTTTGGGACAGAGTTTGAGTGGATTTGGCCTCATGCCCCCCTCCTGACCGATCTTCTGGGGTCCCAACCAGTTCTGCCCCCCCCCAGCCGTCTCCATTTTCATGGCGGTACAGGAGGAGGATAGCAGAGTAGCACGTCGAGGGGATCTCCTGTCTTTTTTGGGTACTCTTTCCGGTCATGATGTCCGCTTGGAAGGGGCGGTCTGGTTCTGAAGCTGAGGGCGAGCGATGACGAGGGAGATTAGTCGGATGAAGAACATGAGCATATTGATGTTGGCGAGGAGGAGGAGGAGGGATGATGATGACGATGATGCTGATGCTGATGCTGCTGCTCCAAATGATGATGATGACTATGCTGATGACTGCTGATGATGATGATGCTGATGCTGATGCTGATGCTGTTGATGATGATGATGCTGATCATGATGGCTGCTGCTTCTGCTGCTGATGATGGTGATGATGATTATGAAGATCACTTTGATGTTGGCGATGATGATGCTGATGATGCTGATGAATGATGGTGGGGATGATGCTGCTACTGGTGCTGGTGATGGTGATTGTGCTGATGATGACGATGATTCTGATGATGAGGATGAGGATGACCACAATGATGACGACGATGCTCCTGATGATGATGATGATGATGTTTATGATGGTGATGATGATGACGATGATGCTGATGATGATGCCAGTGATGGTTATGGTGATGTTGGTGATGATTACCATTCTGATGATGCTTATTCTGGTGATGGTGATGATGATGTTGCTGATGCTGATGATGCTGATGATGCTGATGATGCTTCTGATGATGGCGGTATGATGATGGTGATGATGATAATGATGATAGTGCTGATGATGTTGCTGATGATGCTGGTGATGCTGATGAGGATTATGCTGATGATGATTGTTCTGATGCTGATGATGATGATGATGATGATGATGATGGTGGTGATGATGATGTTGAGGATGCGGATGACCACGATACTGACAATCATGATGATGACGATGATGATGAGGATGCTCTGATGATGGTGATGCTGGTAATGACGATGATGACGATGATGATGATGATGATTATGATGATGATGATGATGAAGAAGATGATGATGATGATGATGATGATGATGATGGTGATGATGATGATGATGATGCTGGTGATGATGATGATGATGATGATGATGATGATGATGATGATGCGAGTGATGGTTATGGTAATGTTGGTGATGCTTACGATTATGATGATGCTCATTATGGTGATGGGGATGATGAGGTTGACGATGCAGATGCTGCTGATGATGCTGATGATGCTGATGATGATGGTGGTATGATGATGGTGATGCTGATCATGCTGATGATGCTGCTGCTGATGCTGATGCTTGTGATGATGATGAGGATGATTTTTTTTTTCTGATGATGATGATGATGATGATGATGATGATGATGATGATGATGATGATGATGATGATTATCAGGATGCGGATGACCACGATAATGATGATGCTGCTGCTGACGATGATGATGACGATGATGATGCTAATGATGATGGTGATGACGCTGCTGCTGATGGTGATGAGGCGGAGCATTCTGACTAGTATATTGATGTTTTTTTCTGTGCATCCTAACAGTAAGGACAGTGTGACTGGCTCAAGAACGTTGCTGGATCAAGGTGCGCTCAAGCAGCCATGGTATGTCCCACGTATTTCTAGGATTCTTGCCGATGGGCCTCACGTCTTGCAGGGCGCGGGCGATGCAGCTGCTGACCGTGACCGTGCTGACCAGGTCTGGCAGACGGAAGACCTCACGACGCCCCTATGGATGAGAACACCGTCGGGCCCAGCCAGGAGAGCAGCCAGGATCAGATTCGACATCTTCGTGCGCAGATCACCGAATTACAAGCAACCATGGTTGCATGTATCGAATCTACGTGTTTGGAGTTTTGCTGATCTCATCGCTGCAGAGTTGCGGCAGCAACTGGAGCAGCAGCAGGTGTCTGACTTGCCTTCTTCTTCGGCTGCCGCCTTTCATCAAATTGCATTGGAGTCTCGCTTGTCAGAGTTGGTCCGTGCTGAGGTGCGGTAACGACTCGAACCACTTCAATTTCGCTTGACGCTGCGTGCCGGGCAAATCGAGGCTCTTGGGCAGCGCCAGAAATCCAGGCGCTTGAATTCACCATCAGATCGCTTGCAATATCTACAGTATGCGGAGTGCGTAGTTTCGGAACCGCCTGAGCACATACCTTCCCAGACCACCGCGAATCTGACTGGAGCATTTTCCGGAGGCGGCGAGGTGCCGATAGTGTAGCATAGGAACTCGATGTTGGACCCGACTTGGGATCTTGTTTCCTGCATCTCTCAAACGCTTCGATAGCAAAGCATGTTCTGAAATTCTTTCGTCAGCTATATGGTCGTTGTGCTTTTGGTGCTCTCCATGAGATCCCCCAGTGGCTTTGCCTGGCTGCATCTTGTTTTTCTGTTCGTACTTCTGAGGGCAGCGATGAGCCGGGTGGCAGTGCAGCAATTCATCTTGGTATATATATACATGTTTTGTTTGGTTATGTTGGCGAGCGCGTCGCTTGCAGTACTACATTGAATTCGACCTTGTTTGCGATATGTGTTGCACATCAAATGGTTACCGTCAGAGGCTTGGCGCCAGTCGTATTGTTGAGTGTGGACGTGAATGTTACAGAAATGCTCAGTGATGGGGTATCGTTCGGCGCTAGTTGCGCACGACCTTTGAAATACCAGACTACAGCATTCGAATTGTTTGCATTCCTTATTGGACGTTCTTGACGTGAAGGCATATAATACACAAAGCCGGCATGCATCCATATTTAACGTTCACCAGGGTGGGCAGATGGAGGACTTTACGGAACACATCGCAAATTGATAATGTGGCCAGCTGCTGCTTCTAGTGATGCTGATGATGATTAGATGATGATGATGGTGCTGCTGATGATGAGTACTATGAAGATAGTGACGATTATGATGATGATGGTGATGACGGTGCTGATGATGACGTTGACGACGACGACGGTGATGATGCTGATGCTGATGATGAGGATGATGATGATGTTGAGGATGGTGACGATGATGATGATGTTGATGATGATTTTGATGATGTTGCTGCTGCTGATGATGATGCTGTTGACTATGGTGACGAAGGTGATGATGATGATGATGCTGATGATGGTGATGATGATGATGATGCTGCTGATGCTGATGATGATGAGGCTGATGATGATGCTTATGATTATGATGATGCTGCTGATGCTGATGCTGATGCTGATGATGATGATGATGATGATGATGATGATGATGATGATGATGATGCTGATGAGGATGATGATGATGCTGCTGCTGATGCTGATAATGACGAGGATAAGGAGGAGAAACAAGGGGGAGGAGGAGGAGGAGGAGGAGGAGGAGGAGGAGGAGGAGGAGGAGGAGGAGGAGGAGGTGGAGGATGAGGAGGCGGAGGAGGAGGGAGGAGGAGGATGATGAGGAGGAGGAGGAGGGGGAGGGGGAGGGGAGGAGGAGGAGGAGAGGAGGAGAGGAGGAGGAGGAGGAGGAGGAGGAGGAGGAGGAGGGAGGAGGGAGGAGGAGGAGGGGGAGGAGGAGGAGGAGGCGGCCCCCACGACGGCCGCGCCCCGAATGGCTGCATGCCCTGAGAGTGATCCCGTGGGGGGTGTACCCGGGGAAGCGGCCGTAGGGGCAGCCATTTTTGTAAGTCAGCGGCTGGATGCTTGAGAACCATGAGCCACCTCACCCAACCTCCCTCTCCGTCCCGGCCGCTCACTTGCCCCTTGATTGGCCCGCCCACTTTTCGCCCCACTTACCTACACCTTACTCCTGCGGCGAAGGGGACGGGGCGGCCTTCTGGGGAAAGCGGGAGGGAACTCTCGCCGACGGAGGCCTTGGCAAGGGCCAGAGCGGCCGCTGCCAACCGTTACGCGCCACAGAAACCTCCAACCTACAGCCACTGGCCGCCTGCCAACTGCCGCCACCTTGTCTCGAACAACTCCCCTCTTCCCTCGACGTCTCTCCCCTTCCTTCCCCCCTTGCTTGGCCCACCGCGCTTGGAAGCACAGCCTCGACTGCCCACAGTCGTGGACCCGGCAGCGCACGGGTGGTGGTAAACCCGAAACGAACCACGAAACGCACCGAAACGGGACGGAGTTTTGGGGGTGAACCGCCACACCCCAAGGTGAGGTCGGGCACGTCCCTCTACAGGAGGAATATTCAAAAATAGTCAAGAAATAGTCAGGGGACGATTTTTCTGTCTATTTTTGTCCATTTGGGGGGTACTTTTTGAATGTGTTTTATTTGTCGTCCAAAATCCCCCTGTAGGGGGACAGGCCCGACTTAACCCCAAGGCCCTGGGGAGGGGCCCAGGCCGCGCACGGCCGCTGGCGTGGGGCCTGTCAAATCGCTGTGCACGTGGCCACCGCAACGGCGCCGCAGAGCGCGGCTGCAGGGAGCCGCAGGGCGTATCCAGACCACATCCCGGCACTGCTTTTCGCGGCCGCCGCCGCAGGGGGGGAGGCGAGGATCCAGGTGGGGCCCCCAAACAGGGTGAGTCGGTGGGGATTCGGGGTCACCGCATGGTTTTGGCACTCGGGTCGTTCTCCGAGGATGTCTCGG